AGTCCTGGGTCTGCCCTCGGGCCGGCTAGCGGCAGCCTGGACGGTGCCCAGGCATCGTTTGGGACGGCGCGCGCTGGGCTGTCCCCAATCAGCCGTGTGGGCAAAGCCACCCCGCCCTGGGGGCCGGAGCCTTTCAGTAGGCAGGGGCGTGCTGGTCCCTGTGCGGTCCCTCCAGGCTGGAGAAGGGCTCTGCTTTCGGTTATTTAGTGCACGGGTGCAACCACGTGAGCCCTGAAGAGTCTCCTCAGGGACTGACTAACGCCTGGAAATTACTCACTGTCCCCCTCAGCGGAGGCAAAAAAATCCAGATCCCCGAGGGAGGGGATTCCTGATCCTGCAAACACCCTGGTGTCACATCCCAGAGGGGAAGTGGCAGCCTGGAGGGAAAGTTCAGTGTTTTAACCTGTTCCCCACAGTGGGGTGGAGGGCCTGGCCACCCTTTTGAAGGATGGTGACAACTGCAAGGGGCTGGGAGTGCAGGAGGGATTTAGGGTGGCGGGGACCCCCGGGGCTTCTTCCACGCCAGCAAGTGCAAGCGGGTCTGGTGTGAGCCGATGTCCGGGAAGCTGAAGTTTGCTGAACCCCTTTGGAGTGAGGAGGAGGTAAAAGACTACTGCCACGGTCTTCCCTCGGGCTGCCTTGTGTTGCACCCTCTGCCAGGCCCCTCTCTGAGCCAGCACCTCTCCAAATCTCTCCTTAAAAGTGATTTTTCCCGGGTGTCCCACACTCATCATGGCAGGTGGGGAGGGAGCTGGTTCCAGAGGGACACCCCCCAAATTTGTGTCCTCCTTCTGCCTCCCTCGCAGCAAGGGTGGAACATCACTGTGGACCTGGTCATCGGGCCCAAGGGCATCCGGCAGATGACGAGCAAGGAGGCCAAGGTATGTCGAGCGTGTGCTGGGTGGCACGGCCACGAGAAGAGAGCCAGGAGCCCTGCCAGAGCACAGTGGCATCCTGATCAACTTCTGCTCCGCTGAATTGGGAAGGAGCCAGGGTGCTCACGGCACGTGAGTGGGGTTGTGGGGTGCCAGGGTCATGGAGGAAGTACCAGGGAGAGCAAACAGTGGCTGGACTGAGCCAGGACATGTCTCTGGCCATGTGGGTGTGTACGTGGGGATGAGAATATCACGGCTGTCTGAGTGCATCCTGGGGGAACCTGATGGCCTGGTGATGCCCTTCTTCCTGCAGCCCACCTGCTTGGCTGAGTTCAAGCACATCAAGTCCATCAAGTGCTCGAGCGTGGAGGAAGGCAGGGCCGTGCTGCAGCTGGGGCTTGCGGGCACCCCCCAGGTGAGGAGGAAGGGCTGCCACGGCACCTGCGTAAATGCCACACTGGGCTGGGGGCCGGAGGGTTAAACACAGCTGTATGAGTGTGCTGGGCTTTGCTGGGCTGTGGGTGGGATGGTGGTGCCATGGGATGACACGCTGTCCTGTTAGGTGAAATTAGGCAGGACTTGGTAGATGGTCTCATGGGCTCTGGGGTGGATCGGTGCTGGGTGCGTGGGCTGGGGAGTGCTGGGGCACTGGGAAGGATGGTGTTGGGCCAAGCGGGGAGGGAGGTCTTGGAGGTGCTCTGAGCTACCCTGAGGCGGAGAGGAGAGGGAAGAGAGCCCAAGCTCCGACGTCTCCCAGCCCTTGGCTCCGGGTGCACAGGGCTGGGCCATATGCCAGGCTGCCAGCTCACCTGGACCCCTGTCTCTGCTGTCTCTCCTAGTCCCTGGCTATCAAGACATCCTCTCTGGCTGAGGCAGAGAACATGGCCGACCTCATAGACGGCTACTGCCGGCTGCAAGGGGACCTGGAAACCTCCCTCCTTGTCTTCCCCCGCAAAGGTGAGCACCCTTGTGGAGCACCAAGCCCAGCAGTGTCTCCTGGAGAGTCAGGAGCAGGGACTCCCTGGGGAGCTGGGACTGGCCGAAGGGCTGGCTGCCTTCCCAGCAGCCCTCATTTACTGCCTGACCACTTCCCCTGAGCCCTCGCAGCTCTGCGGCACCCGCTAGGCCCCTCTCCACCTCAGACTTTCACCAGGGCCCTGGCATCATTGACAGCCGTCTTGAGGCTAGATCATTCCAGCTGAGGTCTACCAAATTTGCTCCATGTGTGATCAAACCCAGCTGGTCCCTAGCCCAAGGGTGGTGGCATTTCCAAAACAGGGGGAGCTGGCTGCTGTCCTGCAGACTACCTCTCCCCTATCTGCTCTCAACACTTCATGGGGAGATGGCAGGGTGCATGGGGTGACCTGCCCCACATCTGCCCTGGACGCAACACTCTGGCCAAGGATGGGTAGGGGGAGGCCCAGGGGTCCCTGTGGTCTGTCAGGAACAGCTGCTAATGGCTTTCTGCTGTCCAATCCGCAGAGAAGGAGAAGAGGATCAGCCTGCCGCAGATCCCGACCCAGTAAGTAGCGTGTGGCCCTTGGATTGGGGCTGCGACCCTGCCTGTTAGCCCTGTCCTGGTGTCTCTCCCTGCCTTGTTCAATAACCTGAGCCTCCTTCTGCCCCCTAGGCACATAGAGGAGAGAAAGTCCATGTTATCAGACAGCATAAGCATGGGTGAGTTTTAGGCTCTTTTCCTTCCTTCCCACCAGCCTGGAGGTGCCAACAGAGCTGTCCCACAGCCTTTCTGAGGCAGGGACATAGAGGCACGGAGGCTTTTGGATTTGGTGGAGCCGGCCGCCCCTGGACCTTTGTATGTGAGCAGCACACTCAAAGAGATGCAGCCGAGCATCCTACTGTGAGCGTGAAAGCCAGGCCTGCATCCCACGTGCCCCATGGGTTGTGGTACCCTGCAGGAATACCGAGAGGCCTTGACCATGAAGGGCCAGACCCTTTTGGGACACCGCAAGAAACGTGTGCACCTGAGTAGCTGTCTGAATCACTGCCTGAAACCTCTTTCTTGCCCTAGAATCTGATATTTATGCTGAAATCCCTGATGAGTCCTCAAGGCCAAGGTCTGGAGGTAGGTGTCACCCCCGCCAGGTGCCCCATACTGGGCAACGTGGAGCCGGAGCAGGGCTCCGGGGGCAGGACCCCACTGAGCTTGCATGGAGACATGTGCCTGCTCCCCTGCTCTCCCACCACACCTCCTACCGCATCCCCCATCCCACCTCCTGTCACATCACCCATCATGCCACCAACTCCTGCAGGAACTCCCACATCCCCCATTTCACCCCATTTCTTCACACACACACCCCAGCCAGGATAGCCCCCTGTCCCTACATGTCCTCCTCTTCCCCGTCCTCCAATGCCCCAATGAGGTCCCCCCTTTCCTTCTCTATTTCTTACCCTTTCCCTTCCCCAGTTTCCCATCCTGACCTCACCAACCCCTCTCCACCCTCCAAAAGCAGGGAGCAAGACTGTGCCCACATGGCACACTTTATATCCACCCTCTTCCTCAGAGGGGCTGAAGGAGCAGGAATTGTTTTGCGTGCCCTGAGGTAGGATCCATGACTCTGCCTTTGGCGAGCGGTTGATGGAGAGGGGTACACAAGGGTCACCAAAGTCTGCTCAGCATGAGGGCTTTGCCCACGGAGGGGCAGTGGGGTGCAGGCAGCTTCCCAGCTGGCTGCTCCCAGGAGAGAGGAGCTGCCAGCACCCACTGGTCCTTCCCTGTCTCCCCATCCATGAAGCCCAGTACTATGGGATCTCCCGGGAGGACATCACACTGGGCAGGATCCTTGGAGAAGGCTTCTTCGGAGAGGTGTATGAGGGCATCTACACCAACTCAGTGAGTTTTGTCCCCTTTCCATTCCCCGCCAGCCTCCTCCTCTCTCCTTGGCGGTGACGGCCGAGGGAAGTGGGGTAATGCATGATGGGCGCCGGATGAAAAGGGGAACTTTCCCTTGCTTCTTGTTGCAGAAGGGGGAGCGGGTCAATGTGGCTGTGAAGACTTGCAAGAAGGACTGCAGCCCGGAGAACAAGGACAAGTTCCTGAGTGAAGCGGGTATGCCGGGGGTCCTGCTGCCCTTTGGGGTGCCACAGCCAGCTCTGAGTTCCTCCACCTCAGGCACAGCCAGCTTCTGCCCAGCACAGGGCTCGCACCATAGCCTCCCACCGTGTCCCTTCTCTCCTCCTCTGAGATCCCTGCACAGGGCTAGGGCTGGGCAGCAGGATCCTGGCCCAGGGGCAGGTCACTGCTTGCAGGACTCTGCCCAAGGGCTCGGAGGTGAGCAGAGGGGATGGGGGAAAGCTGAGAGGCAGGTTGTCCCTCCTGGATATCCAGCTCCATCACGCTAGAAGCACTGATAGGTCAGTACCGACCAGTGCTAGAAGGGGGTGGGAAGGGACGTCCTGGGGCCTTCATATCTTTGCTGTTAGCAGCACCCCGACTGGCAGGGTTGGAGTCAGCCTGAGAAAGGCAACGTGGGTGGATGGAATAGGCAGCTGATCCGAAAGGACTGGAGGGGAGGTGCTTGCAGGCCAGATCCAGGCTGCAAGGGGCTACAGAGGGGACAGTCTGCAGGAGATGAATGTGCTGGGGCCTAGAGGTGTTTGCAAAGCTGCACTGGCTGGGTGTTAGAGACAGGATAGCAGGACATTGTCCCTGGCAGCTTCTGTTCCTGGTTGTCTGCCTGGAGACTTACTGGTGTTGCAAGGCAGAACGGAGTGGGAGAGGGAAGTGGTCCAATGTCCTCTCCCCTGCGACATGCCTGTTCTCCAAAATATGTGTGTTAGGGGAGGGGTGACTAGCAGGGAGGGGAGAAAAGCTACTGAAACCCTGCATGAAAGCAGACAGGCACCATCTGACTGCAAATCCCTGGTAGCTGGAAATCAGGAAGTTTCTCCAGCCCCAGCCCTGTTGCTGATGTACTAGGATATCCCTGGCAATTCCTGCTGCGTTTTGGCCTGCCTGCCCCGGCTTTATGGCAGAGACCTGCCCCTACACACCTGGAGGAAGGTCTGGGTTCCCGGAGCAGGCACCCCACGTGGCAGGGCTCGGTGTCTGATAGCAGTCTCCCTGCAGTGCTGATGAAGAAGCTGGACCACCCCCATATCGTAAAGCTCATTGGCATCGCGGAAGAGGAGCCCACCTGGATTATTATGGAGCTCTACCCCTATGGAGAAGTGAGTGGGGTGGGGGAGCCATACAGCGAGGCAGCGGGGCTGAGCGGACCCTCTGCCGTCCTTCCTCCCCACGGCCCCATGGCATGGCGCTGGGTTGCACAGCCTTGCCCCTAAACCCAGCTTTGCTTTACAGCTGGGGCAGTACCTCGAGCAGAACAAGCACTTGCTGGCTGTGCCAACCCTCATCCTGTATGCGCTGCAGATCAGCAAAGCCCTGGCTTACCTGGAGGCCATCAACTGTGTGCACAGGTAACACAAGCCGAGGGACAAGGCTTGGCCAGGGGCCTGTGTGGCAGCTCAGAAGGACCCAGCACATGGAGAGGGGCGTTAGGGAAGGGAGTTCCTCTTGGGGACAGCAAATTCCAGCATGCTGGTCTTTATATTGGGAATGGATGGGCCACTACTTGGTAGAGCAAGGAGAGCAGCTCCCTCTCTCAAGCTCTGGCCCATTGCGATGTGTGGGAGTATTGAGGTGCTAAAAAAGATGCTGCTGTGCTGTCCTGGTGGGGAGGCAGTTCCCACCTACCGTGCTTTCCCTGGAGAGGCAAGCTTCCTCTTGAGAGCCAGGGGAGAAGGAGAAGGTCAGGATGCTGAGAGAGGAAAAGAAAGGTAGCGACCTGAGGCTGGGATAGGTGAATGTAAAAGCGGGACCATGCCATGTGGGCAAGCTGGGTAGGAGAGGCTGGCAGTACCCTGCGCTGTGGACCGGGGTGGGGGCATTTTGCAGCCAGGCGAGCTGGTTTTCCAGGTGTGAGCTTGTCTCCTGGCCTGAACAAGGCTTGGTTCATCCCTTCTCCGGATGCCTCCTTCTCCCCAGTCAAGAGTCTCTCTCCTTGCAGGGATATTGCGGTGAGGAATATCCTGGTGGCCTCGCCAGAGTGTGTGAAGCTGGGTGACTTTGGGCTCTCCAGATACATCGAGGAAGAGGAATACTATAAAGGTAAGGGGTGTGTTATGTGCTTGGTGGTCCTGGATGCAAGAGCAGGCATGCAATGGGGCTCAGTGCAATTGCAGGAGGGCTGCAAGACAGGGAAGCGAGGGGTGGTGGGAAGGGGCCAGGGCTGGCATAGCAGGGGCAGGTGGCAGAGACCATGCTGAGGTTTTGTCCCCCTGCCCTGCCTGCGTGTGTGTGGGGGGCAGAGACCAGGCTGGGGTTTTGCCCCCCTGCCCTGCCTGCGTGTGGCTGTGGTGGGCCTGCCTCTCCTCCTACCGTGCTGCCCACCCAGGGCTGCAGCCTCACCGTAACACAGCCACTGTCTCTTCCTCTGCCAGCATCCGTGACCCGTCTCCCCATCAAGTGGATGTCACCGGAGTCCATCAACTTCCGCCGCTTCACAACAGCCAGCGATGTGTGGATGTTTGGTGCGCGGTGGGATTGGGACAGAGCAGGCTCCTGAGAGCTGTCCACCCTGCAGGGCACTGCTTAACCCGTAGGGCCAAATTCTGCTCTCGGATCCCTGGTGTAAATCTGGAGCAGTGATATTATCCCAGATTTGCCCTCTGGGAAAGATACCTTAGAAGAAGGTTTCCAGGACAGAGCTTGGGCCTTCCTGCAATTCAGCCATCACTAATAATAACTCCTCCAGGGAATTCAAGACCTTGGTCTCTGGTCAGGAAGGCTGAGTTAAACTCTACCCCTTGCAAATATCCATCTCCCTGCCTATCGGTCCCTCTCCATAGCCTCTAAGTGCTCATCTGTCAGTCTGTCCAACCCTAATAGTCCTATGCTTACCAGCACACGGGAGCTCCTTGCAGATCCCTGGGAAAGGAGGTAACTCTTTTCTCTGCATTTTTCACTTGGGGAACAGAAACACAGAGGAGTCAAGTGACCTGTCTGGAGTCACGTAGCAGAGCATGGAGCTGTAACCAGGTCTCCAAAAGCCCGAGCGAGTGGTGATTCTGTGGCTAGTTCCCATAGTATGAGTAGAGCTTGCTCTTCTACCTCATCGTTGTGTTCGCCACCCCATCTGCGCAAGCTGTGCCTCCTCACGCTGCCCGTCCTGAGCTGTGGCCTTTTGTGCCCCCAGCTGTGTGCATGTGGGAGATCCTGAGCTACGGCAAGCAGCCCTTCTTCTGGCTTGAGAACAAGGACGTGATCGGAGTGCTGGAGAAGGGTGACCGCCTGCCCAAGCCTGACCTCTGCCCGCCCATCCTCTACACCCTCATGACGCGCTGCTGGGATTACGACCCCAGTGAAAGGCCCAAGTTCAAGGAGCTGGTCTGCAGCTTGAGGTGAGCAGGGTGGTGGCGATGGGGTGCCTGATGAGTGACAGTGAGGTGTGATGGTTTGACCGTTTGGCGGACAGATGGGCAAAGGAAAAATTGAACCCGTGCGAGAGATCAGGTCTTGAGTTTTCTGGCAAACCCCAAACTCAAAAGACTGCTTATGACCCTCTCCCCAACTCGTGGTGGTGGTGATTGGATTGCAGTGGAGATGGTTTGCTTCTCACGGACAAAGGAGTCTTAACCCTTTTCTGCTCATAGTTTGAAAAGCCATTTTGAAAAGTTACCCATTTTTAGTTCCGAAACAGCAGATAAATTGACTGCCTGAAGTTTTTCCCAGTTTTGTAGCAGCTTCCATATCTCACTACGTGCCGCATAGGTTCCTTCAGAAGTTTTGCCCAATTCACTCTTTAATCTAGCATTTTTTGAGCTGTTTCCTTTCCCAGGAATCAGGTGGGAAGGAGCTGAGTGGGGCTTCTGAGCCTGCAGCCGGTGCTGGAGCTTCACAAACTGTACTGGTGGCTGGGGAGCCCAGGAATTGGGACAGGCTGCACAACCCTCTGAGGGAGACCTCATGCCCCAGCCCACTCTGCTTTTTAGGTCCAGCATGGCAGCACGACACAGCAGTGCTGCTGGGGTATCTTGACCCTGTTTGCAAAGGGGAAAGCGTCTCAGCCATGCAAACAGCAGGGACCAGCTGCTGCGATGCATTGGGGTGGGTGACCAGCTGGGGCTGAGATATCTTCTCCCAGTCCTTTCCCTTCGCTCTTCCCATCCCTCCTTGCTCCCTCATGTTTTCCACGGCACATCTAGTTTATGAATCCCCCAGCGCTCCCCAGCACTGAGGACATGTCCCTGCTGGATGGAGCTATGCTCATGCTCCTTCCTGGGGGTTTCTCCCTTCATTTCCCCATGCAGCGACATTTACCTGATGGAGAAGGAGCTTGCCAAGGAGCAGGAGAGGAATAATCGCCACCGGCCTCCCAAAATCATGGAGCCACCTTCGTTCCAAGAGCCGCCACCAAAGGTGAGGAGAGGGCAGAGCCCAGCACGGCCAGTATGGGCAGGACACTGGGTGCCAGCCCCTCTCTGGGGATGCCCGAGGGTGCTGTCTCCAGCTTGGCAGAGCTGTGGTTTCACTTCCCCCTCACCCCAAGGATGTGTGCAAGCAGGCAGCCTGAGTACGGGCAGGCAGCCCGGCTGGCCCTTGCTGCAGGGGAAGATGAGTCTCCTTGAGCTAAGCTAGCCAGGAAAGACATTTTATTCATCTGCATTTCTCCCTCTTCCTCTCCTCCCACAGCCCAGCAGACCCAAATATAAACCACCACCCCAGAACAACCTCCTGGCTCCCAAGCTGCAGTTCCAGGTAAGGCTCCATGGCTGGGATGAGCCAGCGGGGACCTGAGCGAGGGGTTGACACCAGAAAGCAGCACCCGGAGCTCGACCTGTGCTCCAGCCCTTGGGGTGCAGCCTTTGGGTCTGAGACACGTGGCTGCCAAGCTACTCCATGCCACCGCCGCTGCGCCACCGAGCGCTTCCCTTTGCTTTGCAAGCAGGACGCAGCTCCACTTGGGATTTAGCCCTGCCCTAGCCATGCGGCTTGCACCCCGTGTTTCATCTGTGCCTTGGAGCTCGGAGAGAGGCTTTTGCCCCAGGGAAGGGCAGCGGGGCAGGTTGCCACGCAGCCCGGGCCGGTTTGCATATGCAGCTGCAAAGAGAGGAGATGTTTGCTGCTCCCTGGCGTTACTGGGGGCTTAATTTCATGGTCCTTCCCATGGGGGCTCAGGGAAGGTCGCTGCTCAGCCTTAGGAGCTGTTGTGGGAGCTGAGGGGCAGAATTTAGACCTTTAAATTTTTGCCTAATGTCTCATAGGACTCTGAAGTGTAGAGCATGGCCCCTGAGCGCTCGCAGCGCTCCTGTCACTCTGGATCAGGTCTCACATCATCTTGACCGCTCTGCTGGTCCAGACGCAAGAGCATGCATTTGGCTGGGGGCCTGAGGTCTCTGTCCCAGGCTTTGGCGAGTCCTTTCCCCTCGTGCTGTCTCACCCCCAGCCCCTTCCCTGAAGAGGGCTGGGCTGGGTGGCAAGGGTGCGAGATGCAATAGGGCAGGCTCTTGTGCCATCCTTGGGTATCACCGCCAGGATGCCACCGCCTTGGCAGGACAGTGTCTGGCCCCATTCCCGAGCCATGGTAGGCATTGGGGTGGAAGGAGATCCATCTCCTCCATGCCTTGGTGCAAAAGCCCCTCTCCCAAGTGCTCGCCGCTCGCCGTTCTGTCCGTCCATCCGTCTGTCCATCCGCACTAACCTCCCACGGCTTGGTTTTTGTGCCCTGCGCCGTCCTGCTCCCCGTGCCCCTGCCCTCCCACAGGTGCCTGAGGGTCTGTGTGCCAGCTCACCCACGCTCACCAGCCCCGTTGAGTACCAGTCGCCGGCCAGCTCCCTGCACACCCCACCGCTCAACCGCCACAACGTCTTCAAGCGCCACAGCATGAGGGTAAGAGAGGTTCTCTCCAGCCTCGCTGCGCCCAGAGGACACTCCTGCCCCGAACCATGGGCCACCTCACCCCTGGCCCAGCAGGGACTCTGCGTGCAGGAGAGGAGGGGGCTCAGTGGGAGGGCAAGGGATGCACCGTGCTCTGCTTCGTGCCGCTGCCACGTCTGTTGCTTCAAGCTAAAAGCTGTTCCCGACCTGGCTACGGGAAGGCCAGATCCTGCCAACGTCCTGCCCTCGAGGGCTGTTTTCTGGCTGCTCAGGTTAAAGGGATGGTGCCTGCTCACGCAGACCTGCAAAGGCCCCCAGGGTGTCTCCAGCCCCCAGAGATGCATGGCTGCATGCACATCCAGGTGAAGGCCTGCCGGTGGATGAGCAGGTCTGGTGCATGGCTTGCATGCAGAGAGTGGGGTGCTGGCACTAAGCCCTGCTGTCACCACTGCCTCCCTCCACCAGGAGGAAGATTTCCTCCGGCCCAGCAGCAGGGAGGAGGCGCAGAAGCTCTGGGAGATGGAGCGGCTCAAGATGCGGCAGGTCCTGGACAAGCAGCAGAAGCAAATGGTAGAGGATTACCAGTGGCTGAGGCAGGAGGAGAAGTCACTGGTGAGTGGCATGGGGCTGGCATTGGGGTTTCTGTGGGGCTCTTCCAGCTACTGCCCCCTCACGGAGGCAGTGGAAGAGCCCCAGATTGCTTTTCCTTGCTTTAGCCGCCAAGGCGCGATGCAAAATGTCCCTGCTTATAGAAGGGCCTTCGGTGAATTTTTCCTGTGCTTTGCTGAATATTTCACAGCATATGTTTTTCATTTACTGCAGCCATTAAGGTCATTTTTCATGGCTGGAAAACTCAGTTTTCCCTGAGAAGAGTAGCTTCTGGAGTAACCAAAACACTTGCACCTCTTTATTTTCCTCACTCTTAAAAATTTCACAGAGATGCTATGGGAAATTAATATTTTGAAACTTAGGGAATTCTTAAATACTTGCGATCTCATCTTAATGGGCTTTTGTAACACTTTTTAAATAAGGAATTGAGATAGCTAATGGGTGACTAATGCACCAGCTTTTAGTGAGACAGGCTTGGAAGGAGAAAAAGGTCTTTTATTAGATCGACTGACGTAGCTGGAAAAGAAAAAGCCCAACTTTCACCACCTCCCAGGTCTGGGGGATGAAGCTAGCTTTAAGGTGATGAGCAGCTGGAGGCAATTACTTAAATTAAGCTTAATTATTCTGAGCAGCAGTTAAAGGTGGCTGGTGGTCCTGAAGCAGGAGAGCAGATGGGGACAATGGGCTGGGATAGAGCTGGAGGTGGGGAGCCCTTCCCTGCGGAGCAGTTAGCTGGCAGTGGGATGCAGGAGGAGCAGTGATGGGCTGTAAAGCCAGAACTTTACCATGTCCTTGGACCTAGCAGAGCAAAGAAATTGGGTTGCCATAGTGTGTTTTCTGGATTTCCCAGAGACTGGTCCTGAGAGATTGGCAGTATTTTTTCCTGGCCTCTGTCAGACAATGCAAGGAGGGACTGGTGCTTCTTGTCCTGTTCTGAATGGGGGTGATAGAATCAAAATTTGAGGAAGTCTTGCCAGGGAGGGAGAGGAGAGGAGGGAGCAGCTATGTGCAGGTCAGCCCCCATGTTTCTCTCTGGTTTCCATGCTTTCCTGTCGCTGCGGATGCACAGCAATGAGCGTTGCAGCCTGGCAACCAAAATCCACGTGAAACCACAGGAAAGCCAAAATCACTGTTTAGCAGTGCAGAAGCCAGCTAGAACAAGGGATTCACCCAAAGCAGCCCTGTGAAAGGCCTCCTGCTGTTTCTCCCGCTGGGAGAGCGTTTTTCCTGGGAAGCCTGGAGGCAGCTCCCCAGTCCTGCTCGCCCCCCTCTAAAACTATGCTGGAGCCCAGCCTGTCTGGCTCCAGGTGAGATCCCCCATGAGCCCTGTACCACCAGAGGCCCCATGGCTTTCCCTTGATTTCGGTGCCTCTCACAAGGCTCCTTCCCCTTTGCAGGACCCGACGGTGTTCATGAACAACAACATTCCTCCGGTGAGTGATGCCAACCCGAGAGAAACAGAGTTGTGGTGTATTTGTGAGAGTGGGTGCACCAGGGTCCTTCTCCTGGAGACTTTTGGAGATGTTGGTATGCTTTGGTATGGATGGGCAATAGATAATTACAGGTTATGGGGTGTTACGGAGTCCTTGTTGTCCCTTTTGCTCCTTGCTCTAGGATATCTCGGGGCTGAGGGTGAAAACTGCTTTCAGCTGCATAGAGAAGCATAGAGCCTTGGGCTGAGCCTGCTGGGAGCATTCCTCTACCTAGTGTTACTCGTGTCTGAGCTCCCCAAGATGTGCCCCTTGGTATTTCATTGGGAAAACGTGTCTCGAAATGTCAACGGGTGAAATTCTTCTGGTGCGGGCCTCGCCCGCAAGAAGTCCTGGCATGGCCCTGTCATGGGGGAGGGGGGGGGATGCCCCCCTTGCATCTTTGCTGCCTCTGAACGCAAGTTAGTGTCTCTTATTTGCTGCTGTGTTTCTTTCCTTCGCAGCTGCTTCCAGAGAAGGAGACGGATTACAGTGAGTGCCTACTGCTGACCCTCCCATCTGCTGCCCCATGGGGAGCATGGGGCTACCTACAGCCCTGATTTGGGGAGCACCCGCTGCTCTCTGTGCGTGGCACGGCTCTGCCAGGGCTGCACCCTTACGCACTGGGGCCAGCGCCGGGGCTGGGCTGCGGCACCTGCCTGCAAACAGAGGCCCCTGCACTGAGCTGCTACATGCCTGGGGGCTGCATCCTTCTCAGTTATGGCATCCTCTGCTTCCATAACCCCCTGAAAGAAATCCCGGATAGCAGAAAGTAGCTCTACCTGCTGTGCCCAGCCTGGGTTTGGGGACATGAGGGGATCTGATCTAGGTTCAGGGAGCCTTGCGGGTCACCTGCTCCACGTGGGAGCTGAGCCCAGGACACAGCCCCTTTTCCCTGCCTGTTGTGGGACAGCAGGACAGCAGCACACGGTGGGGCTGATGTCTCCTGGGAAGTGGTCCTGCTGCCCCGTGACGGGCCCAGTTTCAGGGTGTCTGGCTGCTGTGGGGGAATGCTGCTGTGGGGTGGTGTGGCACATGGCACAGCTCCCGAGGAGGGTCTTCAGCATGCTCGTGTGTCCAGAGGGCCTGCTGGAGTGACCCTCCTTCCTTTCTCTTACTGACGGCATAGCGGAGTTCACGGGACCACCCCAGAAGCCTCCAAGACTCGGGGCACGGGTAAGGCCTCCCCGGACCATGATACCATGTTCCCAGTTCTCCGGGATGCCCCGGGGTGTGCAGGGACTGGCCGGGGCTGCCCACGGCTGGCAGTCTTTCCCTCTGGGTGTCTGATCCCATCATGTCCCTGTTCCCCAGCAGTCCATCCACCCGGCCCCCACTGCCAACCTCGACCGCACGGACGACATGGTGTACAGCAACGTCATGGAGCTGGTGCAGTCTGTGCTGCAGCTCAAGAATGAGATCAGCCTCCTGCCCCCGGAGGGGTACATCCTCGTGGTGAAGGTAGATAGGGAAGGGAGAGGGTGACACCAGGGCTTCCTCGGTGGAACAGGAGAGGGAGTCGCAGACCTGTCTGCCGAGTGGCTCCCACCAAGCATCCTTCCCAGGAAGACCTTATACAGAGAGAAGGGAGCTTTTCCAACATGCCTTGCTCCTTGGTCCTTGAGTCAATGATGGGAGCATTTCCAGCTTGTTTTGCTCCTCCATGAGTCCTTGAGTCAATGGTGGGAGCATTTCCAGCATGTCCTGCTCCCTCATTGGGTTGTTGAGTCAATGGTGGGAGCGTTTCCAACATGCTCCACTCCCCAGCGGGGTTGCTAAGGCTGCAGCGTGGCCTGCTTCCAGGCATCGTTTCCTACTGTGCCATGCCAGGAGGAGCTGAACGTGCTCCTGTGCCTGGAGCTGTCCTAACCCTGCCGTCCTTCCTGCAGAACGTGGGCCTGTCCCTCCGGAAGCTGATCGGCAGCGTCGATGAGATCCTGCCGGTTCTGCCCGCCGCCTCGCGCACTGAGGTAGGGCCTGTGCCGTGCTCTGCGGGGCCAGGGACAGGGGAGAGGGAGGACAGTTTCCCAGACTCAGGGTAAGGATGGGTCTGGTGTGTGTTAGGATGCTAGTGGAGATGGCACCCCTGCAATTAACCCCTGCATGTCATGGACAGATTGAGGGAACCCAGAAGCTGCTGAACAAGGACTTGGCTGACCTCATCAACAAGATGCGCCTGGCCCAGCAGAATGCCGTCACCTCGCTGAGCGAGGAGTGCAAGCGGCAGATGCTCACAGCCTCCCACACGCTGGCCGTGGACGCCAAGAACCTCCTCGACGCCGTGGACCAAGCCAAGGTCCAGGCCAACCTGGTGAAGCTGTGCTTGGAGTGAGAGAAGGGGCAGAGAGAGGGAAGGAGAAGGGTGGAGGAGAGAAGGAGAGAGCGTGCGCTCCCGTTGGCAGAGATGGGAGGAGAGCGTTGCGGAAGAGCTGGCTTTTGTGCATCTCCTGTGGCCTCACCATCCTGCCCTCCCCATCCCCCCTCCTCCTGCAGCCGCTCGTGTCTTTAATATCACCTTATCGATCTTCTGAAGAAAGGTGGTGTCTGGTGACTTGTCCCTTGAAAGGGCTGGGGTGGCCCCGGCTATCCCCAAGGGAGGCCAGCGATCCTTCCAGCTTCATGGGCGCCCTGCTCCCCGGCTGCTGGGGGATCCGTGCGTCCGTTCCCCGGCCCCTCCAAGGCCAGCCGCAGGTGGCGTGTTGTGCTGGCGGCCTGGACCCAGCTCCTTGCCTTTTTACTTGGGGAGCCGGTGGGGACGGTGGCTGGGGGAGCTGGCTTCCCGGGAGCCCTGCGTGGCCGCCAGCTGCTCCTACGGGATGGTGTGCGGGTCCCCGGGATTGTTCAGAGCGACCACCAGTGGTGACCTGCAAAGGGACTGATGCATTTCCTTGTACATTGTATAGAAGAGATTATTTAATGACAGTGTGTGGATCTGCGCACCTCGCTGGGAGCAGTTCTCGCGCCCTTCCCTGGAGCGCGGGAAGGACAGGACCCTGCCGACCGCAGCCTTCAGTCACACAAACCGCCCATGAGAACAGTATATCTCTCCAAGCTGCTCCATGTAAGCAACAACAGCAAAGAAATCTCTGTTCGGTTTGTGCTTGAGTTGGAAATTGTATGGTTCGGGCTTTTCCCCAGCATCTTCCTACAACGCTGTTCGTTCTGGCTGAGATAAACCATGCACAAAGTCCAGCAGTGCCTGTGCTTTCCTGGTCCCCTTGTGCTACAGGGGTATGTCTCAGGCCCCTGTCTCCTTCTTAAAAACCCAGGAAGGGCCATTCAGGTCAGACCACCAAGTTGTCTGGCCCGGGGCCCTGTTTTCTGCAGTGAAATCTGTCCGTGTTTAGCATCCTTTAGCAAACTTCTCAGCTGTGGCCTCTTGGACCAAGGCCGATCTTCAGCATCCACAACACCCTGCAGCGAGGCTTTCCCTTGCTTCTCGACCCCTTATACCACCTCCTCTGGGTCTGCCCCCTCCAGCCTCCTTGGATGCATTTGGCACAGGGGTGCTGGGTCTGCCGGGGCCTTGCCTCACGCAGGGACGCAGTGGCAGCATGCACCAAGTTCTCCATCAAAGGATAACTAGTTATCCTTTGATGGATAACTCTTTACACACATGCCCACCCAGGTCTATAAAGCCTCAAGGCCTGTGTGTACTGTCTTAGAGATATGCGTGCATGCACACATGCCTATCTATGCGCTTCTGCATATACACACATGCAACCAGCCATGCCTGGGCACTTGCTCCCTCATGCATCCCTTTTCTCAGCCCCATGTGCGTGTTCTTCTGAGGCAGCCGGCATGCAGTGAAGGATGCATGAAAGGCCGTAACGTCCTCGGCACGTTAAGAGCTCTCAGTGGCACCATTTATTCCAGCCCAGTTTGCTCTTAGGTGCTTTTCCTGAAACCCCTGGACTGCAGGCAGCACTGTAATTCCTAGTTCGGTCTCCTGGAGCAGAAAACACAGCAGCAGAGACCTGGTGTCTCTCAGGGCGCTGAAGAAGAGACTAGATCCCTTTAAAGGCTTCCTCTTCTAGTGTATATTGGAGCTAGAAATTGAAAGCTGGGTTGTAGTCACCAGAGCAAAGTGGCTCTGGACCTACAGCCTGAGGCAGGCAGGGGGTGGAAGAAAGCAGCCTGGTGAGCTTTGCTGTGGGCCAGAGAGGCCCATTTGCCTGGGCTTTACCAAGCCTTTCTAATTCAGCTGTCTCCACCTCTCTGCTCTCTCTGAGCATGCAGCTGGGAGGGTGAGAAAGCCATGGGCTTGTGGGTTACAGAGGGTTTCACTGATGAAACTGCAGTTGCAGCCAGCTCCAACCGCACTTCCCACCCATGGCCCCAGCTGCACCCCAACTGTGCGGGTGCCACTGCCAGGGAAAGGCATGCTCCAGCTGGACGGGGCCGCAGAGCTCGCTCAAGGGCAGACGCCGGACTTATAGGAGTATCCTTGCTACTGGAGGGAGCCATCGCTAAAGCACAGTGCCCGCTGTGGCTGCTGGGGAGGAGGGAGCACGCATCCCCCCCCGGCCCCATCGTGGCCCCTGCCCGGCCATGCCCCTAGATCATCCCTGCTAGGTAGGGTGGGAGGAAGAGCCCCATGGTCCCCAGCAAGCAGACAATGATGAACATCCAGAGGAAGATGCGGTCTATCACCATGGCCACGTACTTCCAGTCGTCCTTCACCTGCCAAGCAGAGAGGGGCCGTGAGCGTGGTTGTGGGGAGAGGATGCCACATGCGCTTGCGAAGATGCTCTCAGGCTGAGGAGACAACCTGGCTCTCCTCTGTCCTGCTGTTTGCCTCAGCTCCCCGCAGTGGGATGGGGAAATACCCCGTGCTGAGTCTTGGGGAAACCCTTGGAGCACCGGGGCTGGGGATGAACCCATCTGGGGAGACTGTGCAGAGCCCAGGGTATTGCAAACCCCACTGAAGGTTTCCTGAAACCATCTGGCTGAAAATAGGCATGCATACCGCTGAGCTCAGTCTAGGCAGGCCAGGCTGTGCTATCCCTGGTCTCTGAGGGCAGGATAGTGTGGACTGGCCGGGGCCTTCAAACATTCCTGATCCAAGCAGGGGGGAGGCGGTGCTCCACTGCAAAGCAATAGAGCAGCTCACCAGCCCCTACCAGCCGCTCTATCACATCTCCATCAGGGACAAGCACCAGTGGCTGCCCTCTGGTAGCACTGGGGTGAGGGTTCCCTGGCCACCCCTAGCCCACAGGGGCACCCACTCACCGAGTACTCAGCGTCCTCCGCTCGCAAGTGGTCAGCAATGTACTGCACCCCTTCCAAGGCCTTCAGGATGCCGGGGGACAGCAGCAGCCCCTTGTCTGCACCCGCATCATCTCCCTTAGAGGGCACTCTCTGGGCTGGGCCCTCTGATGCCTTCCTGACTTGGTGCCCACAGACATAGCGGCACTGGGCACCCTGGCTGCGGGAGCCCCCCTGGGGCATGCGACTGTGGTACGTCTTCTCCTCCTCCTCCTCCTCCTCCTCCTCCTTCTCCTCCTCCTCCTCTTCCTCCCACTTGTCATCCACATCCGTTTCCAGCCAGCACCGGGAGGTGCTGAGCCTTGTCCTCTGCAGGTCATACTGCCCCGCAGCCCCATCACCAGGAGGCAGCGCAGGAGGCCGATTCATGAAAAGCCACCGAGGGATGAAGTTCAGGAAGAAGCTGCGCACCCAGCGGGGCATCTTGTGGGTGCTGGAGGAGCGGTGGTGGACGTTGAGGACGAAGACAGTGATGATGATGGAGAGTGTGACAAAGATCATGGTGAAGAGGAGATACTCTCCGATCAGAGGGATGACCAGGGAGGTAGAAGGGATGATTTCTGTGATGAGCAACAGGAACACAGTGAGGGACAGCAGGACGGAGATGCAGAGTGTGATCTTCTCCCCGCAGTCAGAGGGCAGGTAGAAGACCAGCACAGTCAAGCAGGAGATAAGCAGGCAGGGTATGATGAGATTGATGGTGTAGAAGAGCGGGAGGCGGCGGATGGTGAAGCAGAAGGTGATGTCAGGATAGATCTCAGTGCAGCAGTCATATTTCTTGGAGTTGTAGGTGCCGATGGCATTGATGATGGCCCACTCGCCACTCTCCCAGTAGTCCTTGAGGTCCACGTGGTGGTCCATGTTCTCCAGGTCGATCTTGGCCTTGTCATAAGTCCAGGAGCCAAACTTCATCTTACAGTTCTGCTGGTCAAAGGGGAAGAAGGTGACGTCGATGCTGCACGAGCTCTTGTAGATGGCAGGCGGCACCCACTTCACCCTCCCATTGGAGAAGAGGTGGGCCTTTGTCATGTGGGTCACAGCAAATTCACCATCGGCGCTGCATGGGGCAGAGATACATGAAGGTCAGAGGAGGTAGGAAGGCACGAAACCGAACTAAGGTAAGGGAAGCAAGTGCAGAGAGTCCTAGCCATGCCCTACTCTCTGGGGTGAAGCAATGCCCTAGAGTTTCCCCCAGGAAATAGGGGCAGGAGTTTCCCACCTGGCTGAGCGCTCAGGAAAATCAGCTCTTGGTGCTGATGTGATGCAGTGGCCCTATCGTGCATCCTTGCACAGCGCCAAGTTCCCCCCTGAAGGCATCACCTAGAGCATGGAGATGGGCAGGAGTGTGAGCACCAGCCATACCCTTGCTGACCCAGACTGATTTGCACCCGTGCCAAAGGGGCTGGGATGGGGGCAGGAGCCCTGTGGGGCCAGGAGGAGATGGGGGAGGCTGGCCCTGCGGCTGCCCCTTCTCGCCAGCGCCGCTCACTTGTTGTAGAGCACAATGTCAGGTATCCAGATCATCTCAGAGGGCACACGGATGGAGGTGACGTTGTCAAAGTCTGCCGGGTTCCAACGTAGCTTGTAGTCACTCCACTCCTGGAGGTACATGGGGAGGGAGGAGCAGTGTCAGGCTGCTGTGAGGTCTAGTGGGCACCAGCACAACCCTCCTCCTCCTCCTCAGCAGGGTTTCTCTGCCCCAAATGCCCTCCCAGACATGCTCCTGCCTCTGCCCTGCAGAGGGAATAGGCTCCTACCTGCTTCAGCCAGACATTTATGGTCATCATTTGGTTCTTCTCGTCCTGTGGTGGGAAAGAGGGAGTACATGAGAGGAGATGGATGAAGAGAGCTCAAGAGCTTGTCCTATCACCTCAGCCCCTAAAGAGCTGCTCTCGCCCAGCCAGTTTACACAGCCAAGCTGCCCCTCTTCGGCCCTCCACCTCCACTGGCCTCTGGGGTTCAGCTACTGGAAGAGGCTGGTACCAGTATGAGTTGAAGGAGAGACTGTATTTCACTGGGAATATCTGCTCACTAGATGGCAGCAAGAAACAGCATATTGTGGTGCAGAGCTGAGATGCTCCACCAGCATGGTGAAGTGTGGCTGGATGGGCAAATGCAG